AGGGCAAACGCCGCAACCCGAACCACATGCCCCCGAAGGTTCTGCCGCTCACCTTCGATGCATCGCTCGAGAAGGAGCGGGCCAATTGGACGCACGACCAGATCAGGCACGCCAACCTGGGCCAGGTTTACGAGATGGTGTACAACAAGGTGAGCGCCAGAGAGTACTTGGGAGGTCCGTACGACACCAACTCCAACTTCACGGAGGCGGTCAACGTCACCGTCGGTGAGTCCGGCGGCTCAGAGTCGCTTCACAACACTGCTCACGAATGGGTGGGCATGCTCAACAACACGGCCTATCCCGACAACGAGGACATGGGCGTGTTCACGTACGCCGGGCGCGACCCGATCTTCTACTCTCACCACGCCAACGTCGACCGTCTGTGGAACGTCTGGAAAGCTCTTCCGGACAAGATCACTCCTGACGGGCACAGGGTCCGCAAGGACTACGACGATTACGACTTCCTGGAGACGGAGTTCACATTCTACGACGAGAACGCAGACATGGTGATCGTGAAGGTGAAGGACACGCTGGAGAGCAACAAGCTCGGCTACACGTACCAGCCCATGGTCGAAGCGGACAGTCTGTGGATAAACCACAAGCCCAACGGGACCAAGCCCAGCTACAAGCGCAGCGACGTGAGGGTCAGCACCAGCAATGCCATCGGAAGGCATCCCACGAGCTTCAAGCTCAGACGCCACGCCCCCACCGCGGCTGATCTCCGAGGCACGCAGGCCCAGAACGTCCAGCAGCTGAGCGAAGGCGTGGTGTTTGAGCACGTCCGCGTGCCCGAGCTCATGTATGTGCGCTTCGACGTTTTCCTCGACTCCCCCTCGGCGACGGCCGAGACGGACGAGGACGAGTCGGCCTACGTGGGCACCTTCACTCACCTCCCCAGCGGAGTGACGACCGTGACGGATCTCGGCCAGAAGATGGTGCACGTCGAGGACGACGACATGTATCGCACCCTCAACATTCGCTTCAGCACATCCTTGGCCTTGAAGAGGCTGGGCGTCACCGACTGGAACACCGACGTCACTGTGACCGTCGTGCCCAGGTTCAGACCTCATGGCTACGGCTGGAACATCAAGGCCCTCACCTTCTCCTGTCTCAGACAAGAATTCACATGATCACGGAAATCACAGAACGCATGCACTTGCTTGAGACTCTCGTCCTTGTGCTGGTATCATCTTGTCTGGACTCTTATCAGGCGCTTCTCAGTCATCTAGAATAAACACCATTCCGGGTTCGAAGCCTGACGCTCGACTTGCAGTTTACGTAGATTCTTAGCCCATCTGCAGGTCCCTAGCTAATAATCCAGTGTCTCACGACAAGACATCTGGTGTCGTCTGTATGCTCGGCCAAGAAATTTGAGTGCATCTTCCACTTTTATCAAGATTTCACTAAACATGCCAGCGTCTATTACAACGAGGACTTTTCCTCGCAATACAGTGACTGAATGCTATTTCCCCTGCTTCATTTTGCATGTACACAGAAATCTACAAGACTGTTCGAAAAATGATTTCAGTCAGTTGTCTCATGGAAAATGGTTTAAACTCTTCGTGATAGTTTGAAACCTGCTTCCATTTGTATTATTATATCGCTGCCCAGGAGGATCTACACTCTCTAGATTCTTGGACTTTCAAGCATAGTCTGTTGTTTTATTCTTCTAAGAAGCTCTAGACGGCGGCAGATTAAGCTTTTCATCACTCAAGTATCACCCAATTTAGTAAGCACAGGAGGATCTACACTCTCTAGATTCTTGGACTTTCAAGCATAGTCTGTTGTTTTATTCTTCTAAGAAGCTCTAGACGGCGGCAGATTAAGCTTTTCATCACTCAAGTATCACCCAATTTAGTAAGCACGACAGACTGCTTGCCTTGTCTCATGGTGTGACGACCGTGACGGATCTCGGCCAGAAGATGGTGCACGTCGAGGACGACGACATGTATCGCACGCTCAACATTCGCTTCAGCACATCCTTGGCCTTGAAGAGGCTGGGCGTCACCGACTGGAACACCGACGTCACTGTGACTGTCGTGCCCAGGTTCAGACCTCATGGCTACGGCTGGAACATCAAGTATCTCAGCTTCGCCTGCCTCAGACAAGAATTCACATGATCACGGAAATCACAGAACTCGCTTGCACGCATGCACTTGCTTGAGACTCTCCTCCTGATGTTATGCATCTGAAGTTCGTGATAAGGTACCGGTCAGTTGATAGGTCGCATCTCTTAATCATCTGGAATAAACACCAATCCGGGCCCGAAGCATGACGCTGGACCTGCAGTCTCCGCAACTTCTTAGTCCCTCTGCAAGTCTGTCTCTCTAGATAATAATCCAGTGTCAGGAGACAAGATATCAGCTGTAGTCTGTATGCTCGGGCCCACAAACTTGCAGCCCATCTTCCAACTTTCAATAAATATATCAGCTTCTTTCACATCGATGACATTTCCCTGCAAAACACTCACCGAATGCTATTCACACGCTTCAATTCGCCGAGATTACACACAACGGGGTTATCCGAAAAAAGGACTTCAATCAGTTGCGCCATGCAAATAAATGAAATGGTTTTCTACTCTTCGGAATAATTTCGTCATATACTAGGTAAGCATAGAACTCTCTTCATATTCCAAGAATAATATATTCTTCTTTATAACAGAAGATTGGTATAACAAGTCGTGGATTCACCAAGGTCATCAAACTATGAGAGATCGTGATAAGGTATCGGTCAGTTGATAGGACGCATCTCTTACCGGTCGTTCCTTTATCATCTAGAACGAACACCATTCCGGGTCCGAAGCATGACTCTCGACCTGCAGTCTCCGCAACTTCTAAGACCATCTGCAGGTCCGCCTCCCTAGCTCATAATCCGATGTCTGGAGACAAGATATAAGATGTCGTCTGTAAGCTCCACCCACAAAGGTGGAGTTAGAATTCTAACTCGATTAGAGTTGTTATGGCTTTAAATGTATGGGATCCTAGTGTTCTAACCCAAACATTGCTGCTAATATTCCAATTGAATGGAGTGTACAATGGTCTTTTGCAGTGTCAAGATCTGGATAGTCTACATCACCGGAATTTTTAAAAACATCATCTAGAAAGAATCCGCATGAATAACAGGCCATCCTCAGGTTTGTTTCCTAATTCGTCATCTGTGGCTGATAATCAAGTGTCTCGTGACAAGATATAATATCTCATTTTGTATGCTCGGCCTTGTTCCAAATGAATTTGCAGGCATCTTCAGCCGATATTCGAATTGAGAATGTCAATCACAGTGATCACGTTTTATTGCGAAACATTAAATGATCGCATTATTCTCATGTTCCTTTTGCAGGGCAGACATGCATGACACAAGTATTTATCAAAGAAAGTTGCCTACGTCATTAGAATTGATGAAAAATGTTACAATGGTCATGACGTATGGGACTGTCGTAAACTATATTCTACATCCTGGTGTAGAGCTCAGACATCCAACCGTACATGTTTGTTCACTGCAAGGACCGATGTCACGGTAATTCGTCTTTTTGCATATAGATTGATGCTATGGCTCTTTATTTCCACGATCATCCCTTATTGAATGATTGCTATGTTGAACCTCCCCAATGGAGATGATTCAGCAAATGAATGAATTGTGTATACTGTCGATTAGGCTTACAGCAATTTTCTGAAAGCAGAGCCTGTGCGTTTTCAATTTGGATTACAAGTATCCTTGAAGACGAATCTCTGTGCTTTCCTTTCAGAACTGAGGTTTCGCTCTTTAATTCCCACCCCAGCACCACGTCTACACTGGAGATTCTTGACTTTCCAAAATGATGAGAGCTTGCTAATCAAGGCTGTGTTAATGGTTGATGACTGAACAGACTCGGCGAACCTCACCGTCAGTCGCCCACTGGATGTTACTCATCTTCGTCATGGCTGCTGCGAAGTCACTTGAGAACGAAGAGCCGGCCTTCGAGTATCGAGTCACAAGCTCCTTTCCCACTGGATTCGTCAATAAGTTTGCATCCGACTGGAAGAGGCCTTTGTTGTTCAAGACTGCCTTGAAGTACAAATGGTCGAAGGTGTTCTTGGTGGAATCCACATTGAAAACGTTACGAGGGTTTACTGTTTCGCCGAATGCCTTTTTCCGAAGGGACTTCACCGAAGACCTTGGCCCGAAGGCCCCCTTCCGCACCTTGTGTCCCCTAACCATCACACTAACTCCTAATCTTGCTAATCTTGCCAAACTTTCAGAAAACCCTAAGCATAATTTTGCAAGAGCTTAAATCCAAAATTTGAACTCTCATAAGGGTAAAACGACATGTGAGCACAGTTTTGTGCTCACACTCCGCAACTTCTAAGACCATCTGCAGGTCCGCCTCCCTAGCTCATAATCCGATGTCTGGAGACAAGATATAAGATGTCGTCTGTAAGCTCCACCCACAAAGGTGGAGTTAGAATCCTAACTCGATTAGAGTTGTTATGGCTTTAAATGTATGGGATCCTAGTGTTCTAACCCAAACATTGCTGCTAATATTCCAATTGAATGGAGTGTACAATGGTCTTTTGCAGTGTCAAGATCTGGACAGTCTACATCACCGGAATTTTAAAAACATCATCTAGAAAGAATCCGCATGAATAACAGGCCATCCTCAGGTTTGTATCCTAATTCGTCATCTGTGGCTGATAATCAAGTGTCTCGCGAACAAGATATTATATCTCATTTTGTATGCTCGGCCTTGTTCCAAATGAATTTGCAGGCATCTTCAGCCGATATTCGAATTGAGAATGTCAATCACAGTGATCACGTTTTATTGCGAAACATTAAATGATCGCATTATTCTCATGTTCCTTTTGCAGGGCAGACATGCATGACACAAGTATTTATTAAAGAAAGTTGCCTACGTCATTAGAATTGATGAAAAAGGTTACAATCATCATGGCGTATGTTAATGTCGTAATCTATATTCTACATCCTGGTGTAGAGCTCAGTCATCCAACCGTACATGTTTGTTCACTGCAAGGACCGTGAATCGTCTTTTTGCATATTGATTGATGCTATGGCTCTTTATTTCCACGATCATCCCCAATTGAATGATTGCTATGTTGAACCTCCCCAATGGAAAAGGTTCAGCAAATGAATGAATTGTGTATACGGTCGATTATGCTTACAGCAATTTTCTGAAAGCACAGCATGTGCGTTTCCAACTTTTTGGACTGCAAGTATCCTTGAAAATGAATCTATGATCATCTGTGCTTTCCTTTCAGAACTGAGATTTCGATCTCCCATTCCCACCCCAGCACCAAGTCCACACCGGAGACTCTTGACTTTACAAAGTCATCAGAGTTTGAAAATCAAGGCTTCGTTATTGGTTGATGACTGAACAGACTCGGCGAACCTCGCCGTCAGTCGCCCACTGGATGTTACTCATCTTCCTCATGGCTGCTGCGAAGTCAGTTAAGAACGAAGAACCGGCCTTTGAGTATCGAGTCACAAGCTCCTTTCCCACTGGATTCGTCAGTAAGTTTGCATCCGACTGGAAGAGGCCTTTGTTGTTCAAGACTGCCTTGAAGTACAAATGGTCGAAGGTGTTCTTGGTGGAATCCATGGCTAGCGTGCTGCCCGGCTCGTTCTCTGGGCACTTCTTCTTGAGCTGTTTGGCTAAAGAGGCGTCGATCGATGGATCGGTGAGTCCCGCAACTCCGTTGAAGTTATAGAGACGAGACTGAACTGCTCCGCATGATGATCGGCCGATGGTGTGGCCTCCGGAGAGAATGACCATTTCCTCCTGCGTGAATCCCACAGCCGAGAAATTCTGTACGAGTTGGTCGTAAGTCGCGAATGGTGATGGAAGCTGCGCATCCGCATCGGAAGAAATCGAAACTTTGCCATCTTTTCGACCGAGATCCAGTGACCAGCTCTGACCTCCAACCTGAAATTGCAGGGAAAGTCAGTCAGCTATCACAAGCTGGGTCTTCATCCTAGTAAAGATTAAAATTGGATCGAAACTCTGAAGTGCGAATGGCACTGGAGCAGAGTAAAGTAAGTAGAGTTAAGGAAAAGATTTCTACCTTGACGGTGGCATCACGAGCAGCAAGGGCGAGAGTATCGGCGCATGATACAATTCCAGGGCACTCGGCCTCGAGTGCCGCTTTGATTTGGTCGATTTCGTGAAATCCTCGAAGCGATCCAGCATTGGGTCGTGCATCCTTCTCAGCCGTATTGGTTGGCGAATTTAGGAGCACGGAAGCATCGCAGCCCTGCACCATGAACACCAAGTTACTGTCAGCAGATGTTTTCATATGGAAGTTTCTTGCATACAAAGGTCTCATTCTAAGAGTCCTTCACTTCCTGAAACTCGTGGAATAGTGAAAACTCACCCTCACGAAACAGTCGTGAAAATGCAGTCGCAGGAATCCCCCAGCCAGATTTTTGTTTGCCTTGACAAAGTTGTTGACCATGTCCGTCACTATGGTCGTTGCTTGCGGGCATGAGTCCTTGTAGTAATCAGCACCACTGTAGGAGTGAGCGTCCGTGATTGTCGCCAGTAGAATCAGTCCCAATATACTCAGTAAACGCAAAGGTGGAAACGAACCCATCGTGAGAATGCTTGATCGATGCGCTGCTTTTGCGTCGACTTGTGCAGGTCGACGAACAAAGCTGAAGGCTGTTCCCGAAATTCAGCTCAAATCCTGAAGTTGATGTGAATCCTCGATGCACCTGAAGTTTTAAAGCACTTGATTCTCCCTCCAAGAGTAATTATACTCGGCTTCAGGTAGTATGGATGTGCAGGCAGCAATGGAATCTGATGGCTGCGTTTGGTTGGAATGCTGGGCTCACCCTCCTGATATATATACACTCCGGCCAAAGAGCGTCATTTACACTTTAACGTCTGTACGATGTGGACCTGGTACATACGAGCGTAGACTCGTAGATCTGAAAGTTGTGGCGACGTGGAACGGTTCCACAAGGTCATGGCATACGCCAAAAACTGTCTATTTGCATCCGACCCAAAGCGTTGACTAAATCATCATAATCACTAGAGCTTTCACGCTTTGCAGCACAATGTGAAGCGATTCCGGTGATATCTGCTGGTGACTATCGACAAAAAAAGTTCAATATCCGATGTTCAGTGAGAAACACACGAGGGACAAAGGGACTGTGTGACATGTCTCCTTGTACATTTTCTCATTTGTAAACGGCCTCACAACTTATCGAGTGTACTGAAGCAAACTTAACGAATGGAATATGGCATGTGCCCCTATTACCCTGGGAAGTGGGCTCTTCAACCGGGGATAATTTCGTGTGTTGCCGAGTTGCTATCTGAACGCAGATGCTCCGGCAGACTCATGCACGCCAACTAGAGAGTGTGCTGCACTGGTCAGATAAGACCTTTAGGGTCTTATTTCCTCATCATCCATGGAGGCGCTAACATTCGAGCACAACGGAGCGAGTTTTAGACAAGGTCGAGTAGACTAGAATGTCCATGCGCAGCACAGCGTCTTCCAATGAGACCACTCGGTCCGCCGTCTGAAACCGTAGGAGTCATCTGAATCGGTGGTAGGATGCCAACAGCGCCAAAGATTCGGAATCGGTTTCATGCCGTGTTCCCCTGTCCCAGATTGCTACAATACCCTTTGGGATTTCCCCGCAAGTATGGGCCCATCTCCCGGTAATTGGTGAGAAAAACGTGGGATTCTGTTAAGGTTACATTCGGGCCGACGCAGACATTGCCGTCAGCTGGGAGACGCTAACGAATTCAGTGGAAGCCCAGGTTACCATTTGACCTGACCATGCGTAGGGCGGGAACTTGCAGTCTCCGATCCCAATTCTAGAGGTTGGTGAGTTTAAGATGGCGGCTAGGCGTTGCATTATCGAGAGGATGGTATCTGTGAGGATACACGGTGGCCACACACCCAGAAAATAAACCCTCTTCCTAGAGTCACTCCGGAGGTAATTGTTCTCGTCATAAATCCATCCTACTCCAGGGATAGAATATTTCATCATAACAACTCCTCCAAGCAATTCTTTCGTAGACTAATTCGCATGCGAAAGGACCGCATCCTGCCGATTACGTTTTTCTGAGGATTAGGAATACTGCAATGACACTGCTTAAGCTTAAAGGCCAAAGCACGTGTGCAAGACCTGGTGACGAACTAAGTGGACGTGATCGGATCAACGTCAGTACATGAAAAATGCCAACCTGTTCTCGTACGACCTCCAGAGATATCCAGTCTCCACGTTGGCTCAATTGACTCTCTTAGAGATTACAAACGTGTGCGTTGGCGAATTGAGGAGTCATCCTCCCCATGGGCGATACTGGTCTGATCAATTGACGAATTTATATGCTAGTGTTGAACCAGATGTGCCGATCAGCCAGATAGAAGATCTCGCTTCTTTTACGATATTCATGGATCTAACTTCTATGTTGCAGCGTATCCTGAACTTTGAATCGAAATGTACGGCCTGTTTCATTTAGAATTCTCAAAGACGTCTGGGGAGAAATATTTGTAAGAGATCACTCCACCTTCTTGTTTAAGGGTTTTCGGAGACATACATTTGAGTTGACCAGTGAGATCCCTGGAAGCTAACTGTGAAGAGCAGGTAATGAAATACGGATTCCAGCTCTTGAACGTCCAGCTGTTAATTACTCAGATACATCTGCTGATCGTCCAGCTGTCCTGGACATTTCAGAATCTTTCGTGAATCAATGACTCGACTACATCTTATTTATTACTGTAACAGTATGTCAAAATAATTGGCCTTTCAAACGGCAGTATTTAGGAGTAGGATGAGTGCCTCGACTTTTCAAGGCATGGATATCTATGCCCACGTTTACACTGAAGGAGAGTAAATATGAAGCCAGGTGCAGACATGAAATTTTGAAGAATTCTTTGTTCCTGGATGCACTTCTGAATCGGACGAGGGACTTCTAGCGCTGACGATTTTTTCAATATAGAAAGACACTTCCCTTTGCAGTGTCACGTTCGTGACACTGCAAAGGAAAGTGCTCTTTATCGGACGAGATCAACAAGGAAGACCACTCCTTTGACGACTCCGGCCTTAAGACCCGGCCAGGTAGCACACTCTCGATTTAGCTGTTTGTATGGACAATGTTTCGATTAAGATGGGCCCACATACTACAAGTTGTGAAGGAAGGCCGCAGCGTTCGGTACTAGTGGCGCCCATGTAACTGTACATTGCGCACTGGTTTTCTTGAAAGCATTTTGGCAAACGCAGCTAGCGTAATAAAACTCTCAATGTAAATGGTGGCTCTTCTCTAGATTCGGTAAGAGGAGGCAAGGTGACTGAAACAGTAAAGTCAGATTGCATGCAGCTTCTTGTCATGTTGGGCTTCCACCCTTGAGAGGACCAAGAAACAAAAGACGTCTCGTAGAGTTCCTACTCGTGACTGAAGACTTTGTTCTCACTCGTCATGTGGAGACTTTGTTGGCAATTAGTTTGTTCCTCGCTGAGTCAGCAGTTGGGAACAAATTTCTCAAAATGGAGTAAATATAAATTTGATAAGAAATATCTTAAGATTAATGCAGTCTAACAAAGGTATCACATTATCTACAATTAACTTAAAAATGTTACTAGTATCAAGAGAATCAGGACCATTTGACTTCTTTGTTCTCATTGTAACTCATTCATGAAATTTTCGGAATGTGTTATTAGGTCTTATTGGAGAACATCGTTTAGATGAGATTATGTTCGTCCCGGGGTTTGTGGTTTATCAAAAGACACTTGTAGAGAAAATGGTATATCATCAATATCTCAAATATATATATATATATATATATATATATATATATATACAACTAATTATTTTAGAGGGTTATGTAAATATATTGGTCAAATAAGTTTCGAGTTTTGAAATAAAATTTACTGCTGGTTCAAGACTGGGTATATTACAGAAGCACTCCTTATTTCGTGGTGCTCAAGCTTGGAGAAAATGTGCATGTAAATGGGCACTTTTATACCAGCAAGGATTAACTTGCTCTCAGTGCATCCATCTGCCCGCTCAGAACACTGATTCTGCAGCGCGATGGCTGGCCTAGTCACACGATATCCAATGGACATTTAAATCCAGCTCTGCTTCCTTAACCTTGCCTCAATGTTTCCTCCGTTTCCTTGGCTCAGCTTATTACATTCCGACAGCAAAAGCTGGTTCCACTTGACACTGCCTTCTTCTTGCCTCTCAACTTTATTCCTCTGGAGTTGAAACACTTCTTTCCATGATGCAAATCTCTGGGCTGTTCTCTGCCCGTTGGATTGGATGTGTGTCAGATAATGCACTTGGTTGTTCACACTCTCTGTATTTTGTTTGGCGTTTAATAATACTACCACGTCTAGTATGAGAAATACCTGAGAACTGATCTTGTCCAATTTGTATCCAGATGGTTATCGATACCAATTGGTTTAACAAGCTTTGGGGAGCAGCATCCCAAAGATGGAGAACGCTCTATCTTTGGGAGTCAACGTGCTTGCCTAATGACAGCCTGATCCCTCTGCCTTTGAGAATGGACATTTTAGGATTATATCATATATCATAAGTATTCATCTAATTTTTGAATTGATTTTAGTATTTAAGAAATTCTTGAAAGCCATACTCTTCCAGGAGTATGGGTTTCTATTTACTAAATAATACGGTACGAAATATTTTACTATGAACACCTACATTAAAAAGAAAATTTGATAAAAAAAAGTTTGCAGTTTTTAATTTTCATAATGTAAGAAAGTGAATATTTTTTAAAAAATTTTTCAATAAAAAAAAAATCGTGTCATCAAAAAACATATGGTAGAAATCTTATGTACAAACAATGAAACAATATAAGTATTTTTCATCAAAAGAGTTTTTCTTTTATAAAATATGTATATATATACAATAGAACATGTATAAATTAATACAGTCAAAATAAATAACCTGTGATAATTAATATGTGCGGTTTAGTCCCAAGTCGAACACTATACATTTAAAAATAAACCTCCAAAAGTTAATAATCAATACAGTATTATTAATTTGTCATAGTTACTATCAATACAAAAAATATTCTGGACCGCCTGTGTAGTACACATACTACATTTCTTGACTTACAGAAATGGTATGGTTTCTTGAAGCCATTTGATCATATTTGCTTGTGTAAACTATGGATGCTTTTTCTTGTGGTTACAAAGAGCTATAAAAACCTAGTTGATCATGTTTGTATTGGTGGATCTCCTTGAATTCATTGCGTTGAGGTTTTGGTTGTGGCGACAGTAGTGACTGTGGATTGCTGTTATCCCAGGTGAACGCCACGAGTTACAAATAACACGAAAGTAGAACTTTTTATAGAACTCTCGATCCCGCCAGTTGTAATAACCCACCAAAGGCTAAAACTGCAGTATGGTGGTAAAAAGATCGAACCCACAAGGACGGAGGCAACACACAGAGTAAAAAGTGTCACATTTAACAGACTTTTGTAGAGTTTGAATTCTCAGGCGACTGTCACTCCCAGAAATACTGCAGTGCTCGACTCGGAGGCCACTCGGAGGATGCTCGACTCGGAGGTCGGTCAGGACCTCCGCTTAGGATTTCAGGGGGACAATATCTCAAAAGTTCACTCAGAGGCTCTGCAGGTAGTGACTCCCACTCCAGCTTTTACAGCCCTTCCGCCAGGAACTAGCGTAGGGAACCCGGATTGGACTTCTCACTTCGGAACGAAGTCCCTCCTACGCAGTGGACGTCATCCTCGACTCACACCAAACGCAGAGAGTACAGGCCCGACTGAGAACTCAACTGAGACACAATCCAGTAACACACACA